GGGGGGGGGGGGGGGGGGGGGGGGGAGAACGGATCTAGGTTCACTCCCAGTCCTCAGACTTCTTTTGTCATGAGTAAAGTCTGTGAGACAGGTTTTGAATTCGCGGGAAAGGAAAGATACATTACCAGTGCAGAAGTTCGTAAGTGTAGAGGAAACACACACTGAAGCGAGACCAGGCAAGCTGTCTTCCATTCTTGCCACCTACGTTACAAGCAATATAAACCAGTTCTGTCTACGTTTCCTGCTGCCTTCCCAGATAGTTCCAGAGCAAATCCCAGCTCTCTAAATCTCACGACATACTTTACATTCTGAGGAAATCCTCCCGGTCCAGATGGCCTACCACAAAGCACTTCTATGTTGGCACAAATAAAAATTTCTTAAGATAGCTCTTCTCCTGTCCCTTTGCTCTCTGAAGTAAAGTTTTCTACTTATTTATAAAGAGAGACAAAGACACTGAAGGAGAGAGAGCAAACAGAGCATGCAGCCAAAAGGGGGTAAAGATACAGACAAAAAACTTTGGCTGCTTTGGGGAGTGGCTAAACTCCAGGCATAGGCAGAAACACATGAATTAATACACCACATGAATGAATATTCATTACAATAATTTGGTTGTCCTCAGACTTTTCTGATCTTCTTTTAATTGATTAAGCATAAGGTGCAACTGCTTCAAATACAAAACTCAGTTTTTGCCTTTTGAAACTGAAACACAAAATATACTCAACAGTTTCTATAAGTAACACAGTTAAAGCCCCCAAAGTATTTTCCTCTACTAGGAAATAAAAAAATTAAGAATGTGTGTGCAAAGGGGCAAATCCCATTTCCTTTTTTCCTTTTTGTTTTGAATAAAATAAAATCCACCGTTACTTTAAAGAAACTAAAAGAATTATCACTTTTCAATCATTTTTGAAATTTTAGTGTTAAAACTAACATGGCTGATTCATTATAAGCATTATACTTAAGTGAGATGAATGTACAATGAGAATAGTCATTTTTCTTAATTCTCTTAATTTCCCAAATTACTGTAAAATAGTACAACTGCACGAGTAATAAACAATTTTTAATGCCTATTTATTTTGAGACAGAGCGAGCAAGCAAGCGAGCATGAGCAGAGGAGGGGCCAGAGGAAAATCCCAAGCAGACTCTGAGCTGTGAGCACCTTGATCCCACAAACTGGGAGATCATGACCTGAGCCCAATCAAGAGTCTACAATGCACTGAACTGTGACCATGAGGTAGTGAAGATGGAAGGGGGAAATAAATGGGTGAGGGGTGGAGACAATGTTGCGGAAGGATGATGATGGGGTTTTTGCTCCAGATAGAAGGGCAATATATTTTCAGGGTCTGGGGAAAAAAATCAACAACAGAGTGATGTGTACTAATATGAAAGGACATACAGGAAAACTCTAGTTAAAGAAGATGTGAAGGGCTAAAATAGAAAATACAGCCCAGGGGTTCCTGGCTGGCTCAGTCAGAAGACCATGGGACTCTTGATCTTGGGGTTGTGAGTTCCAGCCCCACACGTGGTGTAGAGATTACTTAAATAAATAAAACTTAAAAAGAAAGGAAGAAAGAAAATACAGCCCAAAGAATGAGCCTTGAAAAGGGACACTGTTTTATCTAAGAAGAAAGAGGATGAAAGCAGGCACAGATGTTTGTTTTTATACCAAAATTTTTAATCTGTAAAGTAGGAGACAAGGTTGCCTGCTAAAAAGAGCTGGTTAAAGAGAGCTGAGTGTGGAATGTCTATACCATCTGACACATCATATTGCAGGATATTGTTAATTATCTTTTAATAAAGTTACATTCTAAATTCCTAACTAGATTGCAAAGTCCTCTAGGGGAGAAGCTATTTCGTTTTATTTTCCTCTACACCTGGAAAACACCATCAGCACTGGTAACTCTCCAAACACTGGTTGATTTATTGTGGACACACTGTAGAATCAGCAGCAAAGACAGGACTAAACAAGGGGCGAGACAGAGACCCCTTTTACCTTAGTGACATGAAGAGTACTGGGGTCGCTTTAGAAGAACAGAACCCCCACATGAAAGGTTTCATGGGGCTGGGGAAAGGATCTGGAAGAAACAATTTTAGCCGATGACTGATAGAAAAGACAGGTTATCTCTCATTGCCCTAAATATTTCTTCCTTTTTTGGCTTCTTCTTTCTCTGAATATCCCCTTTTCCTCTTTTGTTCCTGGACTTTGAGATTCTGTCTCTCCCTGCCTTTCTTCCCCTTCTTCCCCTCTCTCTGTCACAATATGCCCATTAAGTATATTTTTGTTATTGCTGTCACAGTTTTAGAGATTTAGCCCAATCAAGAGGTTAGATATTTTTGCACTAAAAGGCCTCAACCCAGGACTACAGACAACTTATTTCACTAATTTTTTTGTTATGAGTAAATAAGCTAAAATGCCTATATCTCTCCATTAAAACAAACAACCCACTCTCTTCCCCTTACTGATTCCTTAGACAAACTCGATGCTTTCTTTATGTATTTAGTCCTAAACTTACTCATTCACATTTTCTCTCTCCCTCTTCTCCCTGCCCCCCCCTACCCCTCCTGGTGAATCATCAGTCCTTGGCAGAAAATATAGTACCTATCTTGCTTTAAGAAAAATATTCTACCATGTATGTTTTTATTAACAAAATTGTTCTTAGAATATAAAGTTCATGTGTAACCAAAATTTTATTTAGTATACATACAGTGGTTAAGAATATAGTGCTGAATTTAGACTACCTGGATTCAAAAACTGGTTCACCATTTACTAATTGTATAACTCTGGTCAAGTTTCTTAACTTCTCCACACCTCTGTTTCTTCATCTTTAAAATGAGTCTAAGGGTACCTAACATATAAAATCAAAGAGAATTTAATTAGATAAAAATCATTAAAAAACACTTAAAAATGACAGCAAAATAGTGAAAGTCTTATGAATGTTAGCTATTACTAAAATAATTACTAAGATTCTAAAATAAAGGCCTGGTAAACCCACACCTAAATTGACTAAATTCTCAATGTTCAGTAAGATCTGCAGGGTCAGGCACCTAAGCAGTAAAGATTTACTGGGAACAGTCTCTGAAAAGTCAGCAGAAAGAGATGCTACATTATTTTACTAATTACTTATTCACCAAATTCCATTTCATCATCAGAATGTTAAACTGGGGGATGCCTGGGTGGCTTAGTCGGTTAAGTGTCCAACTTTGACTCGGGTCATTTGGTTCGGGAGTTCAAGCCCCACATCAGGCTCTCAGCTGTCAGTGTGGAGCCTGCTTTGGGCTCTCTGTTTCCCTCTCTCTCTGCCCCTGCCCCACTCTGTCTCTCAAAAATAAACAAACACTTAAAAAAAAAAAGCTAAATTGGAATTAGCAGATTAACATTTAATGAACTTCTAATTATATGCCATTCATTGGATAAGATAGTCTCCAAACCTAAAAAGCATGGATGAGTGGGGGAGAAAGAAATGTAAACAAAGTGTAATACAACACTTGCCCTGATAGATTTATACAGAAAATAGTGAGACTCAAAAAAGAAAATCAGTCGATTTTTAATGGGAGGGAAAGATGAAAGTTTGGTCTCTGGAACAAGTTATTTAAATAAAATATTGATGAGAATTTTCAGAAAAATTTAGAAAAGCAATGCAACTGGAGAGCTATGTAAACCTATAAAATATCAGGCAAAAATATAACTTTTTTTAAAGCATTTTTTAAAGTTTATTTATTTTAAGAGAAAGAGAGAAAGAAAGACATCCCAAGCAGGCGTCACACGGTCAGCACAGAACCCAAAGTGGAGCTCAATCTCACGAACCTCGAGATCACGACCTGAGCTGGTTAGATGCTTGACCAACTGAGTCAACCAGGTGCCCCCCCCCCAAAATAGAACGTCTAAATAATAAGTTTACAGATATAACCCAAACAATATGATTCTAAGTACTAAATATTAAAATGTTATATAAGCTGTAAGTATACACTTTTGTCTATTTTAAAAACAAGTAGCATTATTGCTTTAAAAAATAACACAGATTTTTAGATTTCTGAAAAATACTTATTCATCCTAAATTTTATTGAGTGACTAGTTTCTCAGGCACCTATGTTAACTCCTAAGGACCCAAATTCAAATTCAGTTCTTCCTACTTCAAAAAGGAAAAAAAAATTTAAAGGCACAATTTGGAAAAAAATATTTGGAATCATACAAGAAATATGTAAATATATCAATAAGAAAAGACGTCAACCTGATCAAAAAATGTGAAAGAGATGAATAGGTAAACTTCTGTTTATATGGAAGGTGGGAAGATGGATCATCCTTACTAGTAATTAGGAACATACAAATTAAAATCACAGGCTACTATTTCATATCCATTAAATAAACAAAAGTTGTAAATTCTGGCAACACTAAATGTTGGCATCAGAACTTCCATATGTTTTGAAGAGAAGTGTACATTAAAAAACTACACTGAAGGGGCGCCTGGGTGGCGCAGTCGGTTAAGCGTCCGACTTCAGCCAGGTCACGATCTCGCGGTCCGTGAGTTCGAGCCCCGCGTCGGGCTCTGGGCTGATGGCTCAGAGCCTGGAGCCTGTTTCCGATTCTGTGTCTCCCTCTCTCTCTCTGCCCCTCCCCTGTTCATGCTCTGTCTCTCTCTGTCCCAAAAATAAATAAACGTTGAAAAAAAAAAAAATTAAAAAAAAAAAAAAAAGAAAAAACTACACTGAAGGAATAATCCAGCAAGATTCACTAAATATTAAGATCTACTTACTGAGCAATCCAGCAACACTAGTCTCAAAAATAGGTCAAGGACTTGAATAGACATTTCTCCAAAGAAGATACACGAACTGCCAGTAAGTACATGAAAGTACTTTCTCCACAAGTGGAGAAAGAATCCTCGTGCGTTGCTGGTGGAAATGCAAAATTATGTAGCCACTGCATAATACGTCCTGGTGGTTCCTCAAAAAGTTAAACATGTGATCCAGCAATTCCACTTACAGGAATTGAAAGCAGGGACTCAAACATATACTTGTACCCCAGTGTTTAACAGTAACATCATTCACAACAGTGAACAGGTGGAAACCACCCAAATGTCTATCCACAGATGAATGGACAAAATGTGTATATACATACAATGGAGTATGATCCAACCTTAAAAAACAAAATGCGGACACATGCTACAATATGGGTGAGTCTTGAAAATATTATGCTAAAT